ATGAAGCAAAATGTCAATCTTGCTTATCCTAAATGTCAAAGGTCATGACCACCAAGGATCCATTGAAATGGAACTTCGACATATTACAAGAACTCGTTGAAGGCCCTCTCTTGAATCCTAAGCGAATGGAAGAGGCCATTCGTGTGACAAGATACATGCGCAAGCTCATGGTGTTCTTCCATCCGTTCAGTCACCGGTTCTCTGACCTACCGAGGACGAAGGTAAGCCTTCTTCAATGCGCGATCAAGTCATGTGCTGCACTTATCGACATGGTCAGAACAACATTCGTTGGGTGCGACTGGCGTGCATGCTACTCAATACACTTATGACCTCTAGCGAGGGTGCACGCTTCCTCTCCGAGGATGACCTGTTGAGTCAGATCGTCAAGAGTTTTGCGCAACTTGATCCTGTAAGCAAGGCTGAGACTTTTTTTCGTGGCAATGTCTGAGCGCTTCGAATTAGTTTAATGGTACGCCTACATCGGATCCGATCTTCTCCAAGAAGCGCATGCAAGAAACGCTCACATTTGGTTACTTCGAAATGCTGGGTACTTTGAGCAAACGGAAGGAGGGACTGGAGTATGTGCTCTTGTTGCCTGTTGGGTTGCAAGCTTATCATCGCTGCAGGTTAATGGAGAAATTCAAGCTCTTCACAGCTTTCTACCATCTAAGCGAGCTGAAAAGTCGCGAAGACCTCATCAAAGCCATCATCGAGAATCTGGACTACAGCATGTAAGTTTTTGGATACGCGGGATCACCAAACACACTTAATTGTACCGCAGCGACGGCCACTCGCGTATCGTGCTGTCAAAAGCATTGACGTCAAGCTACAAGCACATCCGCTTGTTTGCGACAAATCACCTAGGAACACTGATTCGCGCAAGTCCGGTCGCGAACACTTGGACACTTCGACTTTTGCTCACTCAGTTGTATGATCCTGCTCTCGAAGTGCGTGAAGTGGCTGTGCATTTTTTGGAGGAAGCATGCGAGGCACCAGACGTTCTGCAAACCGTGGTGGAGATGCAACCCACGCTAGATCATCTTGGCGAGATAGGCCATCTGCTGATGCTCAAGTAGGTATCGTGCAGTCTCCACAGGGAGACAAGCTGAGACATCGTCAGATTCATGTCGACCCCTATGGGTTTCCGCTTCTTGCACGCAGCGGATTACATCGATCGTGAAATGGATATCTGGTTCCATGTGGGTCGAAAAATTAACAAGCCAAGTACATCCTGACAATTGTCATAGGAGCGAAATCTACAATACGTGGTACACGTTGAGGTATTCCTGTCCAAGGTGTTCAATTCGAACTCGGCCTATGATGAAGACGTCTTGTGAGTGATCAGGCTTCGTCACCCGCTTCTGACTGACTAACACTTTCTGGAACAGGACTCTTGAGAGCGCGGTTCCACCGCACTTCTACGGAGTCATGGCGAAGACCGAGCTGGGTTATCAGGTGCTGCAGGAGAAAGGTCATTTCTCTGAATTCGCTCAGTTCATCAGGCAGCATGGATTGGAGAGCGAAGATCCTGAATTGATTCTGAAATTGAAGAGTATACTGTGGGCTGTGGTAAGAGAAAGTCGTCAGAACCACACCAGGGAACGTGCTGAACGGCTGCCATCGCAGGGCAACATTGGTGCCACAGAGGGTGGCCTCCCTCTTCTGGAAGAGGAAGAAATCGTTCCAGCCATCATGGACATCGCGGAACAGTCACTGGTGCTTTCTGTTCGTGGGTAAGTCGCTCAGATCATATCAGCGAGGATTTGGACGCTCACTGAGTATCAAGTACCTGTTTCTTTGTCCTTGGATTGATTTCATCAACGCCTCAGGGCGCTGAGGTATTGGATGATCACCATTGGGGAGCGACGCTATCACTCTTGGGTATGCCGACAGGTATCTGCGTGCCTGTGGACATCGATAAGTTCACAGAGGTAGGTGCGGGCAGATCTTTAAAATGCATTGTAGCGATTGACACCATTTATAAGGTCCCTTCGTGGGAATGTGTCTCACACGAAGGCTCTGATGAAACATGTCTTGAGGCTCCAACTACTGAGGAGGAGGTCGAGGTGATGACTGCTATTCACAACCTCGCTAACACCGTCATAGCAAACACCGCATCAAGAACGTTGGCGAAGTATGCCATTATCTCTACAATGAGAGCCGTGATTTGACACTGACTGATCCTCATGCAGGATGAAAGCTCGCCCGGAATATCGCGACGTCTTCAACTCGCCTACCATGTTCTATCGTGCACTTCACACCATATCCTCTCAAAAATATCGCCTGCAGGTTCGGCGTCACATTCTGGATCTATTCAACCTTGAGCTCGACGTCGATCTCGTCAATACTCTGAACCAATGCGCGACTACATTACAGATTCAACCTGATGACAAATCTATGAGGCCTTCAACTACTAGGATTATGAGTATGATCGGGCGGCCGGGTCAGTACAAACAGAGGTCTGCAGACAGCGAAGAGGAGGATCTATCCGACGAAGATGAGCGGCA